GACCGGTTTTTGACCTGCCGCGCTGACGTCATAAGTTTGGCTTTGTCGTTTCTGTCTTTTCGCACACCCTTTCTGGCAACAAAACCTTCAACTGCTGAGTCGCTTTTATTCAGTTTCCCCAACCTTAACCAAAAATCTGACCCGTCAAAACCTGCTTTTTTGCGTTTCCAGCCTTTTCCGCCCCCTTTGAGCAGACCGCGCCGCGTGCTTACCCGTCCGTTTTGACTTCTAATTCGACCTCCCCCTAGTAAATAGGACCTCGGCAATCCATTCCCTTTCAAAGTCTCTTTCTGTTTCACAATTGCCTCTCCGTAACCGACCCCGATCGAAACCTACCTCCAGCCAACAGCCGAAACAGCCACCAGTCACACCCCCTCTTTCCAGCCACCAACTAACCCAAAGCACTCGCCCCGCATACGCCTGAGAAGCTCTCAAAGTATAAAATAAAAGAACACGATAACCTCTCACAGCTGTCTTTTCTATCTTCGTCGATTCGTTTCTCGCAGAACCACTTACCAGAAAAATCAATCACGCCTAGTATAAATCATCCCTTTCCCCGAACAAGACTATCTTTGCTGACGTCCAGCTCCCCTTGTGCAGTTGTCTACTTACCTCGCGAGATCGTCACGTCTGCTCGGAGAAGTTCAGACGTACCGCTGGCATCCCGGACCCGGCAAAGGGAAGGACAAGGGCCACTGGCACCTGTTCGCACCCAGTCAAGAGGACTGCAAGTCCACTCCGTGCCCCGGGTGCGAAGACCGGCCAGGCAGGCCAGCGTGGCGAGACTGCCCGGAGCACCAGGAAAAGTGCCCCGACTGCGGATTCTTGCGGCGGGATGCCTTTGAACTCCCCTTCATCTCCCCCGAGCTCCATGCTCGCGCAAAGCTAACCACGGTCGAGGGGTGCAAGGATGCCACGGTCAGGGGGGCTTGGGGGGAGCGAGATCACTGGTTGGGGAAACCGAAAGGGGCGGTACACGAGCCGCAATTTGAAGTATGGGACGGGGAACGCTGGCGAGACGACTCGGCTTTCTTCGACCCGCAATCCAGCTTTCTCCTTCCGTTGAAGTGCGAGGAGTGCTGCAAAACCCGGAGCGTGTATTGCGCCCAAAACTTCAGACCCCCGTGGTTCACCCGCCCTACCCCCGAGATGTGGTGTGCGGAACGGAAGCGGTTCGAAGCTCGGTGTCCGATCTGCAAGGGGGCAATCGTTGCAACTTTGGAGGAGCTCCAAAGACGGGGGGATCCAAGAAACCTGAAGCTCGGACTTCACTTGGACGGGTTTCCAGCGGCGACCACGTCCAACAAGTCAAGCTGCATCATGGACCTCTTCCCGATGACGGTCTCGAAGCTGACCCTGCACAAGGGAGCGGAGGACTGGCTGTGGCCTGTCATGTACCCCCAGAAGATGCAAATAGTCGCCGGGCCGGACAGCTATGATGCTTTCATGCTGGTCCTTGTCCTCGACGCCCTGAGGCTGTTCATTGACGGCGTCGAGATTGACTACGCCCTTCTCCCCGAGGAGATCAGCCCCCATCTCCCCCCCCGGAGAGGACCGGTTAAGATTCGGATGATGGTCTCGAGCGTTTTCTCCGATCTTCCGGCGCTCGCGGACATGCTCAAGTTCAAGCTGGGGGGGTTCCACGCGTCCAGATCCTGCAAGCACGTCGGCGGCTACGTCGACGGAAAGCTGGTCTACACGGACGGCCGCCGACTCGCCCGCGACGGTTGCGAGCCAAAGAAAATGGACGAGGTGGCGGCGGCCATGCTGGAGCACCTGGGGGCGGAAACGAAAGCCGAGCGGACTGAGATCGGGCACCGGACAGGCGTGATCGGGTTCAGCATGCTGCTGATCCTGTCGGCGGCATTCTGTCTGCACCTCGTGCATGACGTATGCAGCGACTTCCTGCACTGCGGGCCGGAAAACCTCTGCAAGCATCTGGTCCGCGACCTGCTGTACGGAGTGAGCCGGAAGCAGGGGGAAACTACGACGATCGTCGAACCCCCTCGGGCGGATCTGAAAGAGTTCGGGAAGCGGTTAGCGGGGATCAAGCCAACGAGAAAGCTCGCCAGCGGCCGGTGGCCCGCGGACCCGGCAAAGCGGCCCCTCGGCTGGTGGAAGGCCGACGAGCACATGAAGGCGGCGACCGTGTGCTTCGTCACCGCCTTTGCGGGCATCACCGACCCGGAAGCCTACGCGGTTGTCCAGCTCGTGGCCTGCATCCACACGCTGGTGTTCGTCGTCGGCACGAGGGGCGGGTGGACGGCCGAGCTGGCGCACTTGTTTCGGCAGCTGTGCAGGGCCAAGCTGGTCCGCGCCGAGGAGGACGCGCTCCCCAAGCTGCGACCGCTCGAGCACGAGACGTGCCTGCACATGCCGGCAAACGTCCGGATGCACGGCCCCCCCGACGCGTACTGGTGCTACGCGCAGGAGCGATACATCCGGAAGCTGGTAAACACGCCCAATAACGGAAAGCAGATAGAGACGACCCTCCACGGGCGGACCTTGGCCGCTCTCACGGTCGGGTGGCTGCAGCGCCGCCGACGAGAAGAGCAGCTTCGCGCGGCCGGCCGGACGACGGGCGACGAGTCGTGGGAGCGCGCGCGCGCGCGCGTGGCGGACGGAGTCCTCTTTGCCGCGTCGCAGCAGGAGGCCCGGGGCTACTTGACGGTGTTGGAGCGCGAGCCGCCACGCGACGGGAGGCCGTCGGACGAGCGGCTTTTAGCGAGCATGCGAACGGAGGGTGTGGCAATCGGTCAGCTGCCGGAAAATTGGGAGCGGCGGTCCTTCATGCGCCTCGAAAACCCGCAGCGGCTGGCCGTCGAGAAGATTCTCGACAAGGAGGCACGGGGTGCGGGGCAGAACGGGGTCCGCACCGTCCGGTTGGAAGCCGGTACTGTCAAACGGGTGAAGAGCATTCAGCTGGGGGAGAACAACTTTGCGGTTGGCGACTTTGCGGTGCTGCGACCGGAAGCCGCGGGCGGATTGGACGAGTACGTGCTGGTGGACTCGTTTTTCACAGCAAAGCCGCTGAACGGTCCCCGGCGGGTCTTTGTCCAATTTTCAGCCTTTCAAACCCAAAAAGACGGGGTAACCGGGGAACCTCTCGGCGGGAGCCACCACAACTGTCTCATGCTGGACCCCCTTGAGCAAGACCAGGAGCGCGTCCGGCTGGCTAGGGACCTGCATCGGCACTTTGTTCCCTACCCCACTCCCGGCGAGACCGTCTTCACCGGGAGCAGCCACGTCATCGAGGTGGCGCAGAGCGGGTTCGGGTTCGATGCGCACGACGTATGGGTGCCGGTTTACCCCCGGGTAAGCAGGCTCACTTTTCAAGGACGCATTTCTAAGAGTGTCCTGCTTTTCTTTCCTTCTCGGCGCAGAGGTACATCAAAAAATTTGACAACCAGATTTTGACTTTGCTTTCGACTTTTGTAGTGCCACAGTTATGGCTTCAAAACGATCATCTCAGTTTTAGGCGGTTCTCAGTATTGGGCGGCACTCGAGGGAATATGAAGAGCCGGATCCTTGTTGCGTTTCAGAATCTAAAACCGACAGGTTGCTTTTCATCCGATGTTAATTAGTAAGCTGCAAATTCGACCGCTCCTCATCCAATCTACGATACCGAAGCTTCAGAAGCTTCTTGGAAGGCGCTCTGATGTACTCGCTTCTTCCCAAGACGGCTCCCTAACTGCTGTCGCTTCCTTGTGAGTGAAGCTGCTAACAATCTGAGCTGAATTCAAGCGGGTTTATTTCGGTCACCTCACTGTGTGATGAAGCTTTCGTTTTACCACTGGCCGCTGACTTCCACCTAATTCGAGGTGACTGCTGTCACGGATCCGTGATGACAGGCCGTCCGTTTTGCATCGGCCGAAGGGGCTTTGAGAAACGATTCTTGTCGCCGAGAGCATCTCTCAGATACGTCTTCGAATGCAGTCAATACTTCTTGAACAAGTGATTAAGCTACTATGAACTTGCTCTGACTTTCATCGAGTAGGCCAAGAGAGGGCACGGTGACACATCGCGCTCTCTGGTCGGTTAATTCTTGACCGTTTGGGAACCTTCTAAAGACGTCACACGATCATTCGTTCTGAGAAAGTTGCAAAGCGGCGTTGACCGGCTTCGGTTGTTTGGTTGTTTTCATTCTCGAATTCGGCATTAATCTATTCGATTAGTATAAATTCTGAATGCTTTCTAACTGATCTCAATCATTCTTTTAATGACGCGTCCACTGTATGGCAGCTTCGTAGCCAAACCATCAGACAAAGCAACCCGGGCTTTGCAGGTTGGGGACGTGGTGCGGCTGGCGGTCCGTGAGCCTCCGGAAGTCCGCCAAGAGGGCGTCGAGGGGCAGTGGGGATACGGAGTGCCGTACGACATCCTGAAGTCCGTACGGCCTGACTTTTCTCTCTCGTACGCGCTGGTCAAGCAAGTGAGCAGCGGCCAGGGGAGGATGGCCGTCGTGCAGTGGCTGCGGCGCTCGGAACCCGCTGCATCAGACGGGGAGGAAAGCGATTGGACGCTGTGGCCTATAGCCGGGCGCACGGCGATGGACGTAGATGACGTCAGTGGGAGCGAACTCAGTGAGAGCGAGGACGAAAGCGCGGGCGAGTTCGAGCTCAAGCGAGTCACCTGGAACTCGATCATTGACGTCGTGGAGGCGGTCACAACGGTCGAGGACGAAAAAGGGACAGTGTTCCGCTTCAAGACGCTGCCGCCCGTAAGAGTACGAATCTAGGGTAGGGCCAAGAACCGAAAAAAAACCGTGGGGAGAGGGGCCGGAAACGAGGATGGGGAGAGAAACGGTTGGCTGACGTCAGCCGAGAGAAGCGGTCGATTTGTCGGAAGCTTTGGATTGGTCGGTGAAAGTTGCACGGGAGTAAGCGCGAGCTCAGTCCCCGGAGAAGTGGCTCCGGAAACGGAGATCAAGGAAACCGGAACCGGAAACGGAACAGAGAGCGGAACCGAATCGGATGCCGGAAGTGAAACGGGACCGAAGCGGAGTCGAAAGCTGAATCAGAACCGAAAGTGGCACGGGAACTGGAAACGGAACGGTGAAGCAACGGAGGAGGTGGGGAAGACTGGAGGGAAGATTGGACCTCGACCATCGGTGCACTGTCTACCGCTTCTGGACGTGCCCGCCCGTGCGGGTCCGCATCTAGAATGGACGAGCTTTCATAAGAAAGGCGTAAGTTTTCAAAATCGTTCCTTCTGCTTTTGTCTCTTCTGAATTTGTGAGTGTTTCGGTCGAGGGAAAACCATTCAGAAGCGTTTGTCGACAAGTTTTCGTTCTATTTTACATCTGGTCAACTTTTGGACCCGGCGCACCAACCTCTTTCTTTCGGGGACCTCTTTTGATTGGCAGATGTACACTGTGTGCGCACAAAGGAGTCTGCACTTCCTGATCGAATTGCGAACGCGCGTCTTAATTACGGTTCTTATCTGCTGTTCCTACAGCTCTCCGACTGATTGAAGCTGTTGTTCTTCGAATTCGGGTTGACATCTCGTTTCGAATGTAGTGCAGTACTTTCAGGCTTTTTGTTCATTACTCTCAGGCTTTTTGAAGTACTCTCAGGCTTATTGAAGTACTTTCAGGCTTTTGCCGTTTTCAGGCTTTTGCAGTACTCAGCAACTTTGCAGTACTCTTAGCGCAAATCCATCTGATTTCGCAGGGACGTTCAACCACCCTTCGCGCTGACGCACGATGAGATCGGCCTGCCGATCGAAAGAACGGAGGCTCTCCCGTGGCGTCCTGAGGACTGGGTTCGCGCGGACAACATGGAGACGGGCAGCGAGTACGAACGCGCATTCCCTGCAGAGCAAGCGGCCGACCCTGGGAACGACGCATGGGACAGCGAGAGCGACGGCGATGTGTTCGAGTAGTTGGACGTGTTCAAAAGTGCTTACGTAAGCCTTCCAAAGTCTTGCGACCCGCAGTGGCTCTGACGACGAGCATCTTGTGCAGAACGATGAAGCTAATCAGTTAAACTTTCACAAGCCTTCAGGTACAAACGGTTTGGCATCAGAAGAATAATGATGTTCTCAACGCTTCAATGCATTGAATGTAAGTTCAGCAAGACTGTACTACTGAGAACGGACGATGTTTGTACGCTGGATAGTTGGCTAAAGAAAGTGGTTTGTTGATCAGAAGCTTTGATCAGCAAACGGCAATTCAATTCCCCTTTGTGCAGTTCCGAATTTCTAGATATTGCCCGATGGCCACAATTCCTGGGACTCGCATTTGCTCGCTTCCAGCGTCAAAGAGTCCAACGGGCGTAGGGGGTTCTTTGAATCATCCACGTACTTTGTGAGTTTCGCCAATTTTTGTCCAGGATTCAGCTTACGATGCTCCTATGAACAACCTGCAGGACAACAGATCGTCCGAGTGGGTTCTCAGCACCGCTGGGCGTATGGACCACCTCCACCGTGCGCGTGACAGTGCGCGCGCAGCCGCCTTCTTGAGAGAACTGGCGTTGCGCTCAGCGAGGCGCAGGAATCCTTGCCAGTAGACTTCCTAAGTCTCACGTAGAATCACTGAGAGTCTGAGAGGGCTAGACTTGTGACGGATACTTGTAGAGTCAGCATGTGCAGGGAGGAATGAACATGTCTGACTATCTGACAATCGTAATTTCATTTGGATTTTGCAGCACGTAAGTAGCTTGACAACGCGATTCCGTGCGGCTATCCATTCGATGACTCTGTAAGAGAAGGCAGACTTGAGAGCATTACTTCTGATGATTGCGCTCGCGTACGTTCCTACGAAAGACCACTCGATGTCATGACTTATAGAATCGAGCAGCATGTATGCAGTCGTGGATCAATGCTGAAAGCAAGTTGCAAACTTAGCTGCTCACTAAAGCGTTCGTGTAACCTGTGACCGAGTGGCCGTTCACATGATTCAATCAAATCACGTTGATAGAGTGCATCCGGCAACGTCCTGTGACCGGCAACGTTAATCAAGGTTTCTGATGCTATTGCAATCTAGGCCCGGAGCTAACTAAGCCGTGTTCTGCCGGGCTGTCGGTCGACGTTGCCCGAGCATCTATTTGCTGCCCGGTGTTTTCTGCCCGACTACGCTGCCCGGTGGTATCCGCTGCCCGGGCACTCCGCCTCCCCGCCCTTCTTGCCCGGCCTGAACCTGGCGCGCTGCCCGGTCACCTCAGTTGCCCGGAGGAGTGTTCCTGCCCGGAAACGCGCTGCCCGGCCGGGGACATTCCTTGCCCGGTCAATCCGCGTTGCCCGGTCGTCCCGCGTGTCCGGGCAGGACGACCGGCAATTCTTTGCCCGGACACGTGACCGGGCAGGGAACCCGGGTGACCGGGCAGGAGGTCCGATGGCCGGGCAAAGCTTCAGAGGATGGGGATCCCCGGGCAAGAAGACCGGGCAAACCGCAGATTCCCCCTGTGGGTCTCTTCACTTGCATTAATTAGAAGGCGGTGATGTCAATCGTTGGGAGACTTGGTCAAAGGCTCCGGCATTGCTCGGTCTCAGCGCAAGTACGTTATACATACCAATTTTCTGCTCGAAGAGACGTGATCACGTACACATCATACACGAAAATCAAAGCCTCTGCAGAGGCTGCGCGTGTTCCCTTTCCAAAATCAAATCGACAAAAGGTATGGTGCACCGTTTTCATTGGGTCATGTTTGCAGGGCTGCCGTACGGCATAACGATAGTATATAGATCATTTGCGTCGATCGCATAATGAAAGGGTTTAAAACTAGTTGAACCTCGTAGCTGCGATTGACCTGATATATGCCAGAGCTACTAGTGGACGAAGTACTGCTTCCTACGCTCACTTATGTTGAAACTGAAAGTCACGAGTTTACCGTTTATGGTAGTAAAAACTTGGGTCAAGGACTGGAACTTCTGACACCCACCCTAATCTCTCAGTCGAAAACGAGCTAGCGTCCCCCGGTCTCTCCTTTGAAGTACACATAGCTTCTACAGGGGCGCTCCGAGTACTATGAAAGCTGCAGCGAAGCTTCCCCCCATAACCGCTCCGCCTGAACCCGCCCTGGAAGCTGCACGAAGGGTGTCGGACCAGGACTCGGGCGTTGCTTGCTCCGGGTCTTCGACGAGGCGGGCTGCGATGGGGAGATTTGCTGCCATCAACCCGCCCGCAAGCGCACCTCTCAAGATCCGGGATAGAGCTTTCTGCAGGGCGGGTTCAGAAGGGGCGGAATGAGACACCTCGGGAGAGGGAACTAATAGCTAAGAGTAGAACGGTGTCAGAAGGAAAGCATAACTGGTTACATGCTTCTGCACCAAGTCAGGCAGAAACGCACACCTGTTAACTTGGTTTGGTAGGAGCGAAACCTTGCTTTAATTTGAAAGGATCTGGCACGTCGTCTTCTGAGCTTGACATTGATTGGCAGTATACAAGTTTCGTTCGATGTCCGCGTGGTACTAGAAGCAAAAGTTTTCAAGAAAATTCGAGCGGACTGAGAATTTCGTGGCGACCGTTGACGAATCAATGCGGCACCACCGTCCGCCCCCGCTGGCACCCTGCTGAACTTGGGAGCGACACCCATGTCAATAGCGTAGCGTCACGAAAACCAGGCTGGAAAAGAGACTGATCATCACACCAGTACTACTACTAGTAATTTCCAATACAAGTAGCCGCTGGAGCGTTTGCCAGGTGTATAATACTTCAAACATGTGGTGCCGTTGTACTGGGAGTTTGAGAAATGCATCGCCGCTTCAAACTGCGTTGTTCAAGTGGCTGTGTTGCTGAAGACTTTAACCGATATCGGTTAAAGATTTAAGTAATCGATTTTCTTTGTGTCGCGTTGCTCGAGCGGACGCTAATCTGCCCTTTAAACAGAGTTGACCTGCTTGAACAATCGCGAACGTCCAGGTTTCGGGTGGACTACATGCTGGAACAGCAACACGATCAAGATCCTTCATTTCCAGGATGTCAATGTTGCTTGGCTACACGGTGCAGCAACATTCATGGGGCTGAGACTTGTAGGTTCTCCCAATCGTACTGTATGATGGACCTACCTTTTGGAATGTTTTGTTCGGTTAATTTCCGTCAAGGATCTCAATGTTGACCAGATTTTTTTCTCCATTCAATGCTTAAAGCAGCTACTGGTCAACATTAACCACGGCTGCTGACTGTGACGGTGGTCTCATAGCAAGTGCTCACCTCAACAGATCTGAGCACCATGCTCGACGCAGGCCGCGCGCTCCGAAGTGTGCTGATAACTTGGCTGCTCATGGCTGGTTTCACAGGAGCCTCTTCACCGCCTCTTCTTGATGTACAGCAAGCTGATTTTGTGACTTTAACGAGGTTGAGCCCGGTTCCGGTTCAAATACAGTAGATTCTCGTGAAAATGACGAACTCATCTGATTTGTTGACAGTTTATAGGCTTTGCTTTGCAGATCATCTGCTAAAAGATCAAGCTGTACGATCAAGCGAACGGAGAGTCACGTATCCCGTCTTCCGCGCCAGCGCCGCATCGTGCGGACCTCGCGGCCGGCGGTCTGGCGCCCCTCAGCTGGGGATACAGCCGGGCGATCTGGCTGTCGGGGCAGGCCGGCCGGCCGGCCGCTGGTCATGTGCCGCAGTCGATGGCTGCGCGAGGGGGCCGGCGGGCCGCGTCGCGCTGCGCTGCAGGGTTTTAGCTAGCAGGAACCTGAGGAACTTGCAAAGATCCCAATCGTGTGGATCGTGATACTTTCGGTGTACCGATTCTAATCGGAATTGCAGATGATTTCGCATTTCGGATATGCTATACGCGTAGTCGCTTTAGATCCGGATTCTCCAAGTGCCAGCCAGTTTGCGGTGTAATCAGCAACGTCTGCGGATACTTCACTTCGAAAACCTCCAGAACCTGGCATTGTGCTCGCGCAGCGTCAGGACGGGATAGTTTGCCCGGCTACTAGCGGGACTGGAAGTCCCTGTTCGCTATCTTTGGAGTTCACGAAGACACTGAGTTCATGAAGCTATTTCTCCTCAACTATACATGACGAGAAGAACACCTACGACATCCTGCAGAGGAAAGTTTCTTCCCTCGAAAGCTTCCGCCTTGGTGGTGACGTGATCCTTTCGGTTAAGCCAGCGGGTGTAATTGACAGTCCCTGCTTTGTTTTTGGGTCCGGCCGTACTGTGAAATTGACATGCATACACGCGATTTGTCGTTCAATCCGACTCACACATCTATATAGGACATAAGAGAAGCAGCCACTGCTTATGTACTCTGCAAAGCTTCAATGTTATTTCTTCACAGTTAGAGCTTGTAATGTATTCGTTGAGAACGAGCTATCATCCATGATCGCTCTTCTCGGTGTATTGTGCAACAGATTACGGTGGATTCCTAGCCTGTTACATCAGATTCCGAACAAGGATTGAGGTAGCTGCAGTGACACTTCCTCCGAAAAGCGCTCCGCCTAAACACGACCTGGAAGCTTGACGAAGGGATTCGGGCCAGGACTTGGGCGTTAAGCGGCGGGAATCCTTTATGTCTGGACCTTCAATAAGGCGGCCTGCAAGGGGGAAGGCTGCTCCCATTATGCCGCCCGCAAGCGCACCTCTCAAAATCAAAAGTAGAGCTTTCTGCACGGCGGGTTGAACAGAAGTCGAGTTAGAAAATTCGAACAGAGACTTCTAGAATGAATTGAAACAGTATCAGGAAAAGCAGACATAATCAAGCATGTGGTGAATAGTCAGTGGGCTAGTGAGTTGCCTACTTAAACAATCACTAAAGATTGGGACTGCTGGTCAAAGTCTGAGGTCAAACGGACACTCTCTTTTCTGTTGATATGCTTGGGGAACCTCTTCGTAGGAGTTTCTTGATATGTTATTTAGTGACTAGGGCTTGTGGTCGTTTGATTTGGGATTCAACGTCCAACCTTCGTAGAAGCAAACATTTCGAACA